ATCTTTTTAATTGTTTTCAACGTTTCTTTCGCAAGACACACTCTTTCCTTTTTCTGATCCTTGGTCATGAGATTGGGTACCCATCTGTCACAAACTTTTCTTAAATTTCTTCGTCAGAATGGTACCTGTTGATAACTTCAGATAATAAGCTATCTCACGTACCGTGTACCAAGCATCATCTTCTTTTAGAGTTTTCAAAGCAGCAATGTTTCTGGAAGTGATTGCTGTCTGGGGTCTACCTGAACAGTTCCTGTCTTTGACATTACCCAATCTATTGGTGAATGCTTTGAACCACCTGTACACAGTGCTCTTCGATACACTATTGATTCCAAAGTGACTATGCACTTTATTCAGAATCTTCTCAGCAGTTATTCCTAAACTACACCGCACTTTTATGTATCCTCGAATTTCTAAATTTTCACTAGGTATCATATTTACGTGTACAAATGACCAGTGTATACGAGTATATGATAAATAGTACACAATAACTTTTTAACGCATGATTTGGTTTCAATGAAATTTTACTCGATTGTCATCGAAAGGTTTAACAATAAGATCTCGTGTATTTCGTGCAAATGGAATGGTATTTTTTTACGGAAGCACGGCATTTTTTTCATTCACATTGTATGTTCTGGACACACTAGAACCCACGACGGAAATAATATCTCGAGGAAGACTGCAAAGAAATCCAAAACTAAAATGCGTAATATAGATGAGAGTTAAGAGGGTAGAATCACATTTCTATTTTCTTAAAAAAGGACTGAATTTTATATAAATGTTTAAAAAAGATGAAAACTTACCATGCGATTCACCTATTTCACAGTCACATCCGGTGTTATGCTTCACATCTGGTGCAGAGGAAAATTACATATAATTTTACCGATGCTCATTTTTGAGATACATATGGGGTTCCACCCCTGTGTTAATGGTGCATCAAACCCCATCATGTTCCTTTAAAACGAGACAAATAACATGTCTCCCAACCAAACGTTATTCTCACAGTTGTTATGGTTACATACCTTTTTTCATAAATGACCCTGACTCTCAAGGACAAATGTCTAAATTTTTTTTGAATTTTGCTGTTTTAGTTTACCTTTTGTGATTGCAATTTGTCCGGCGCCCGTCTGTCAGTGTGCCTGTACGCAATGTCAAACGGGCTAAAGATATATTACAAAACAAAAATTCTTTACAACTTTTCGTATTTGAAAGTGCAAAGCATTGAGCTTTGATATTTTGTGTGTAGCATCATCTATTGAAACTTTACATTTAATTTTCAAGTTATAGCCCAAGGGTGAGAAAACTGTACGTTACACACGGCCCTTTTCACGTTAGACTGGACCAACATCTGTCATCTGTAGAACTAGATATATAAAGAAATCACTCTGCAGAAGGAAATATTACAACACTATTATTTACTTTTCAGTATCTGCAATATGAACCAAAAACGCAAAGGAGAAGACATTCGCCTTATCACTATGATATTTAATGCCATCATAGAACTGGTATACAGAGTTTCTATTAAATTTATTCTTTTATACTCTGGCAGATTTTATAAATAAACCCAAGAAGTTTTGTTAAAACGTTATGTATTACTATACGCTTATTTTCTTACCATGTGCACATGTGTTGCGTCGTAAACTTACTTTTTGTTTGTGATAGAGTAGGTAAATAAGATATTCAGGGCGTTCATGGCCGAGTGGTAAAAGTCCCTGATTTTTATACACATGCTCTTCACTGCTATGGATTCTAGTTCCACAAGCGTGGAATTTTGAATTCACAAAACGTCGGTGCTTTAACTCAGGTGTCCTGACATTGACGATGTGATTTGAAACCCAGCTTCTAAGATTGTTTAATGTATCTTTTTTTACTCCACTAGCCTTCCCTTTAAAAGTATAAATATCTTTGACCGTTTGATTTTAAATATTTGATTTTCTTTAAAGGTCCATTATGCCTCTGAAATGATATCATTTTTATTAAAAAAAAACAACAAAAAAAAAAACCTTTTTCTTTTTGGTATTTTCACTATCTTGTTACAGTTTCCGAAAACATACGCATTTGCTAGATACTTAAACTACGTTCTGTTTGCAATTGGTAGTGAATAAGTATTTTGTATGGAAGTCAAAATACTACTTTGTTTACATTTTGCTACCTTTACGACACATCACTTAATGTTCAGCACTACCTTTTCCAGTTGTAATAAAATACTATCATGCGTTTTATCCATTATTTTAACATTATGAAAAATCATGTTTGACATTGCTAGAGAATTAGAACAATGTGGATTTCTGAGGCACAATGTGCCTTTAATCATAACTTGAATCACTGTATCATTGTTGGTTGCTTTTTGTTGTTGATTTTTTGTGTGTGTGTTTTTTTTTTTTTTTTGTTTTTTTTTTTTTTTTTTTAGGGGGGGGGGGTGTAAGGAGTTATTTTGTTCTGCGAATTCTTCAATATATTTTCATAAATTAAGTAACATATAGTGACTAAATGTAATAAATACCGCCATATAAAAACATCAGAATTCAGTTAATAAACATCAACATACCAAATAACAAGCAATTATATTTGTTCATCTTTTTTCTTATTACAGTAAAATGAGGGCCAAGACACACCTGACACTGCAGAGGTCAAAGAATACTATCGCAACAGAAAAATAACACTGAACCGTGTAATATTAAATCTCATCAAAAGTTCATTTGATATATTATAAAAACAACCAATTAAGCATCCGTCCTATAGACAAAAAGGGAAATATATGATCTTGAATAATTGAAATAAGTATTTTCTATCTATTAACATATGAACTTTAACTTTATTTTAATGAATATGTATGCTAATGGAAACTGTGCGTGAAACTTACTTTTTTGTTTTCGTGCGACTTACTATCCAGAAAGCGTTTTACTTACTATACCCTTGCAAAGAAGATTTGTAGGCTACAGACCTTCGAAAATATATTTTATATGTACTTCTTCGATAACAGATGTCAATAAAATGATTGATTTTGTGTCTTAAGTGCAGAAAGTAAGCTTATTTTCATTTATTTTGGTACCAAATTATATCGCTTCGTGCAAATTACTTTCGCTGAATGCTCAATTTTCACACAATTCAAACAATGTTCTCAAAAACCACAAAACGAAGGATAATGCACTTTGAATTGTCTTTTGAAGACAATTACCGCGCATATGATACGCTAGGTTTTGTTTAAAATTAAAAAAGAAACGTGTGTAACCTTTATTCAACATGAGGTACTTACCGGGGCTCGGCATTCGCCATTTTCTCGTGGATATTACTATACAAAGTCACGTGATTCCCCTCGTGATAATCATCGTTACAATGCGATGACAATGATGACCTGACTGTAACAATACTTCTTTGTTTTCTTCGCATAAAAGACGATCTTAAAAATAGTGACCTAAGCTTGTAACTTGCCAGGTTTTAAGTTTTTTTCATGTGATTATCCCCCGCCGATGAAATCAGGAGACGAATATTGTTTTGGCGTTGTCCGTCCGTCCTGGCGAACATCCAATTGTCTATGAGCTTCATTCCGTCCATAAGTTTAGTTAAAAAAGAAGGAAATCCCATAAACCGACTGATTTTTGTGGTAATTTTACTGGTTAATGGGGAAAAATGCCACATAAAGATCAAAGAAAAAACACATAAACCCCAATTATTTGCACTTCCGTCTTTCCGTCCGGGATCCGTCCTTCCATCCATCCGTCCGAATTTCGTTTCCGCACTAGTACTCTGCAACTACTGGCTGGAATTCAACGAAACTGTATAGGAATCATCAATACCAAGTGATGGGCATATCGTCGCCTTGTTCCAGTCAGACTCTTCAACTCAGAGTTATGGCCCTTGATTAGTTGTGCATTATGCATGTAGATCAACATTGTTTCCGCGCTACTTCTCTGCAACTACTGGCTGGAATTCAACGAAACTTTATGGGACCCATAAATACCAAGTGATGGGCATATCGTCGCGTTGTTCCGGTCAGATACTTAAACTTTGAGTTATGGGCCTTGATTACTTATACAGTATACATATAGAACAATAATCGTTTCCGCGCTACTTCTCTGCAACAAGTGGCTGGAATTCATCGAAGCTCTATAGGAATCATCAATATCAAGTGGAGATGCGCATATCGGTGGCTTGTTCCGGTCAGACTCTTCAACTCAGAATTATAGCCCTTGATTAGTTATGCAGTGTGCACATAGAGCAAAAATCGTTTCCACGCTATTTCTCTGCAGCTACTGGCTGGAATTCAACGAAACTGTATTGGAATCATCAATATCAAGAGGAGATGCGTATATCGTCGGCTTGTTCCAGTCAGACCTTTTATGACCTTTTATGGCCATTAATTAGTTATGCATTATGCTTATAGAGCAAAAACCGTTTCCGCGCTACTTCTCTGCAACTACTTGCTGGAATTCAAAGTAACTTTATGGGAACCTACAATACCAAAAGGAGATGAGCATATCTTCTCCTTGTTCCGATCAGACACTTTAACTCACAGTTATGGTCGTTGATAAGTTATGCAGTATGCATATAGAGCAATAATTGTTTTCACGTTACTTCTCTGCAACTACATGCTGGAATTCAATCAAACTTTATGGGAACCATTAATACCATAAGGAGGTGTGCATAATTTGTTGCCTTGTTCAGACCAGACCCTTCATTACAGAGTTATGTTCTTTGAATATTTATATAGTATGCATATAGAGCAATATTGCTATTTCTTTGCAACTGCTGTATTGATTTCAACAAAACTGTATAGGAACCATTGATACAAAAAGGCAATTTACATCTCATTGGCATGTCCAGATATAACTATTTAACACAGAGTTATGGTTCTGTTATTGCCCTGAATATTTTTCGTGTACAAAGAATATTACTGTTTACACCATAGTAAATATATATAAATAAAATCTTATATTTTCAGTTGTGGTGTTAGTAATAACCAGTACTCGGCGGGAGATATAAATTCAACGAAATTGCTTGTTTCTTTTATTTTCACAGCACAGGGATGAACGAGAAACACATACCAAGGTAGTATCAATGTCATTAGGAGCTTATGCTTTTTAAGTGTAAATAAAATTACAAATTATTATTATCATTATGTATTAAACTAAATCAATTTAGAATTGTTTATTTAATAAGATGCTGTTTCAGTTGTCAGTTGATGCTGTTTAAATTATTGTATGAAATATTGGAAATAAGAAATGTTGGAATGTTGTATTGATAATTATTTGTATGATTATGTTTATTAACAAATTCCTTGTGGTTTCAGGACGTAATATTATTTTGTTCATGAAGAATGAAAAGAAAGAAATGCCAAATGTCTATGTAAAAGCTCAACGAGTATAACGCATGAATCCAGAACATATTTTATATACATTACTCACAACGATACACTGTAAAATATATACATATAAGGTAAATCAATGGCCCCCTAAAGGGTGGTCAGTTTTGACTTGGCTAGTGTTTGAAGAAACTTGGTAGACACCAAATACCTACAAGGTGCTTCATGTAAAAATGCTAAGCTTTTGCTCTTGCAGTATTAGAGAGGAATTTCTTCAAGATTTTTGATATACCTAAAGTCCCGGGGCGGGGTTAATCTTGACAAAAGGTTTATAATTCTACATAAAATATATGCTAAAGTCTCTATAGTATAAGAACAGAAGTTGTATTTTTTTTGTTTATACTTCATACGGAAAATCCATGACCCCCGTAGGTTAGGCCAATTTTGACAGCTATAATTTGAATAATCTTAAAAAAGGTTTACTAGACAATATTTCATGCTAACTAGATTTTGTAGATTTAATTTAAAAAAATAAGATTTTAAAAGTTTTTACTTGATACATATAAGAAAAGCACATTATCTCCTGGACTGGACCAATTTTGACCAATAAGTTTGAACAATCGCGATAAAGCCTTATGCAAAATATTTATGCTCAAGACCAGGTTGAAGAAGATCTCTTTTTTGTCTTATAATTCTTTATGGAACCATAAAAACAAGGTTTCTGCATGTAATCAAAATTCTTTAGCAACTTTAGAAGACCATCACCTAAGAAACAATCCTGGCAAATTTGGTTGGAAACAGACATTACATTTTAGTTTTTAAGAAATGTTTTTAGTTCACTATATAATCTATATCATACACATGCACATGCACACGTACACGCACACACACGCACCCGTACACGCATACACGCACAATCACAATTTCAAAATTTTACATCGAAACCAAACTGTCTTTTACAAATGCAGCTCTTACAAAAATCCCGGGGTACTGCCGGCGTAATAATTGTAGCATTCTTTTAACAAGTCTCTAAAATTATGTCAAAAGCCAAATTTCTAAATGACATATTGCAAATGTCTTAAATTCCTAATCTTTGAGTAATAGATAAGGTAGCTGTCCCAGTTACTGTTGGAATTCCAGATGTAAATGAGTAAGATACTTGACAGAAATAAATGCCTGAATTGTTCATTCGAACATTTATCAACTTAATGTTTCCATCATCTACATGTTCAACATTGAAGTCGAAGACCTGTGCAAGGCTACCATTATCTCTAGTCATAATTGTTGCTGATGTTGCCCCTTTAGAAGATTTGAATGTCCAAAATACTTGATCCATGTCTGCAGGATTGTCATACTGCCAGGGAATAGTATAGTTTTCATCAACTGTAGCAGTGTAAGTTGTTTCCAACGGTGATATAGCAGCTTCTGAAAATAGTTTTTATATCATGCATTTAAGATTGGTCACTTCTTTCAAACTAAAATTTAAAAACGCCTCAGATTTTAATGATATTTGGTATACATACATGTAGATGTATCAGTTTAAATTCCACAGCATTATTTTATAAATTAACACTGATTTGTAACAGAGTTTTCAACGCGTTCCCCGTCGAAGGAAAGTTTTACATGAGACACAAAATTGTGCCATTTCAAAAGATTGAAGTATCGATCTGGACTTATAGTAAAAAATCTTGATCAATGCTAGATTTGCAAATTAAATTAACAATACATTTATTTAATAAATGATATTGAATGAGTGAAGTTCAATACTTAATTAATCGGACCAGTTGAATAAAATCATATTATGCAATCTAAATATAATTTTATTCATTGAGTTCAATAAATTCAGTGATGACGCTACGCAAATACAAAATTTTAAATTATTTTATCATATACCCAAAATAAAGACTGTTTAAAAAGCGTAAGAATAATTTTTCATTGACGCGACTGTTATTGTAAAATGCTTAAATTTAGCGCGTCATTACTCTATCTTTGTATAACGCAAATTACAGCTTGTTAAAATATATGCACGGATGTGCAATACCATTTTTATGGAGTAAAAAAAATCGGGACGAAATTTTATTAAAAAAAACTCCTGTGTATGTGTCAACAGAAATATATTTGCATATTTGTTATCACTATTTCAAGGTCACAAAACGTGACAAATACAACAAAAGCAATCCAGTGCATGGTTAGTTACAGTGTATATTTTGTGTCCGATCCATAACTTTTAAATCAATCAAGGTATGTGGACATTCGCCAATAATTATAAATTTACATGGACTTGACTTGGCATCATACCCTGTAACTGATATCCTTTCGCTATGACCTCCAAGTGTGACATTGACATATGAGGTACGGGTCTTGGAGTTAAACATGACATATCGTCTTATTTTTGTAACAATTTACGCCAAGGTATTTCAAAATCACATAACTGATGAAAAAACTGTATACCGTACAAAAGATATATCCTATTACAGACCATGTCGAGCTTTGACTCCAAGCCCAAAGTGTTGCCAAACAGACCTTTATCACCAATTGTGACCTTGACCTTGATGGTATGCGTCTAGGTGTTGCGCATGATAAATCATCTTCTTATTGTGATCATTTGTTCCAAGCATTTTCAAAATTTTCTTTATCGATGAGAAACTTATTAATTGGAAACAAAATATACATTATGGCAGGCAGACCATATAAAGCTAAGGTTGGGGTCCGGGTGTTGCGCATGATACATTTTCTTATCAATGTTTATATTATATTTGTGCCAAGTGTTTTTGCAATCCCTTGACTTATGATGGATCTATTGACTGTACTCTAATATATCCTTTAAGCTTTGATCTTCTAGTGTGGCTATGACCTTAGAGGTAGGAACATAGGTGTTTCGCATGACACGTCTGCTCAGTATTGCGAGCATTCATGGAAAAAATCAAAATACATTGACAGAAAGTTATGAACCGGATACCAAAAATACTCTCGAACAGACAATGTTGACCTTTTATCACCATGTGTCCTGAAACTACAAAGAAGGCGTCTGGGCGTAGCACCTGACAATCGTCTTGTTAAAGTGAACATGTTTGCCAAGTATTTTCAAAACCCCTTAATTGATGAGAAACTAATGAACTGGAAACAAATTATATCCTATAACAGATAAGATTTGACCTCCAAGTGTAACTTTTACCTCAGAGGTAAATATATGGTGTTGGAATAATTGATTGAATTACCAACCGGGATATTCATATAAGCTTGCAATACATCAAGTTTGATAACAATATTTCATTCCTAACTCAAGTTATGAACTGGATACCATATTTCTTTATTGAGTAACATTGCCATTAACTCCAGGGGGTCATAATGCAATACAAACCCAGGTCTTCATATAAGCTTGATATACACAAAGTTTGATTACAGTATCACATTCTTTACTTAGTTATCCTGTACAAAACATTTTTATATTTTAAGTAACGGTGACTTTGATCTTGACACCAGGAGGACAAATGAGTCCAAACCGAGATCTTCAAACAAGCTTGCTTTACACCAAGTTTGAATAAAATATCTTATTCCTAACTCTAGTTTTTGTCCGGAAACCATTTTTATATTTTAAGTTACTGTGTCATTGACCCCAGGGAGGTCCAAATGCGATACAGACCCGGTTCTTTACAAAAGCTTGCTATACACCAAGTTTGATTACAATATCTCATTTCTAACTCTAATTATTGTCCGTAAACCATTTTTCTCTTTTAATAACTGTGACCTTGACCTTGTACCAGGTGTCCAAATTCAATACCAAGCCGGCTTACTCCTATAACTCCCCCTAAGTTTCATTTGTGGGGGTATAATAAATCAAATAAAGTATAATTCGTATAAAGTATAAAGCGGCAAAAATGTGCATGTTCAGTATGATGTTTATACAATTAAATACAAATTTTATATGAAAACGGTTCACAATTTAATATTTCAGTAGAATGATCAGCTGACTGATTGCATTGATGGTCGTTAGACTATATAAGACTGTAATAGATTTGTTAAATCATGTATTCACTGAAATGATTAAAGTGGACTGGTCTACAGTAGATAAGTATTTCAGATATTGATATACCAGTATAAATGTGTCATATGGACATTGTAATGAAATATTACTTGAACAAAATTGCCGATAATGTTCTAAATGATTTAGTTTGTACATTTATATGACAAATAATAATATTTTGTTCTAGAACAGAACATTTTATTATTATCACTTATTATATTAGAATATATGTAGCTTCATATCATATATCACATACTTGCCAAAAATATCCAAACTTAAACATCCTGTATGTTTTGTGATTGATACTGTGACTGTGTGTATACCACACTTGCAAAAAATTATATATGTATATAATTATGCAAATAAAACAATTTTCAAACATCAAAGAATATGTAAAATGTGAACTGCAAATATTTGTGCACATTATATTTAATAAATAAATTATTTGGATTCATTATTTTTTTTTTTGAAAATTTGATTAAGAATTTACAGAAAATAAATTTCTAATTACCTCCCTTTATTTACATGAAATGATAAATTTGGTAATATCTTTATAAATTATGCCTATTTGAACTTACGATATTGACCAATTTTAATTTGAGCATCATATTTATGAAATAAAACCGTGAAAAAATTGTGTTACAGGATCTTTAACCATCTCGTGGTTTGTTGTTATTTCTGATACAAAATGCAATCAATATACTTGTTTATAGTATCAAAGACATACAATTATAAACCAATTCACTGTTCATACTTCCAGGGCTTGCTTTTTTTTTGGTAATTTTTATTGTAATGAACCTCATAGTTTGTAATACATTATTGCGCGGTTTGCATTTAGGAAGTACTCCATGTGTTTTCTTATACAATGATCTGCAATTACTTCTGTACTTGCTTGTGGTAAGAAACAGTGGAAATGACTGAAATATATTCCATGACCAATCATAACAAAAATGACAACAACAAAAATGAGTAACAGTGCCCTGAACTCCTGGGAGTCAAAATGCAATACCAACCCGGGTCTTCATATAAGCTTGCTATACACAAAGTTTGAATACAGTTTTATATCACAACAAACATCCGCGAGCAGACCACTGGTAGGCTGCTATACAATCAAGTGCCAAACTTACTTGTGTATCATTGCGGATGATCACGTTACAAATATCGTACATAAGGCTAAAATATGCCTACACGATCGCTTGGATAAAGTACTTAAATCAAATTAGGAATATTTTAAACGGTAACTTTAATTCTATAATGTGACAACATGAATCCCTTTATAAAACATGCAAGGTCCATACTTTGAAGTTTTCTCTGTTTGCGCCTGCATGTCGAAATGATTGTTTAAAATGTCGAGAACAATCGGCGAGCAAACTATATTATTGGACAATTAAACGCATGTATAGCAATATTAAAGTTCTAAAATATCATCATGTGCACGATTGTTATTTTGCCTTCGATGAAAAATAATAGTCGTTTGTAAATGTGCATAACAAAGTTACTTTAGCCGGTACTAGGGTTCATAACGGTTACTCGCATTTTCCAGTACCGTCCATGAGCAGGCACAATCCGACCGAGACTGTGTCAAATTGTGTCGTTGTGTGCGCTGTTTAGGGATATTTATTTCTCTTTATTTGATTACTTCCATATATTTTCATTCGGTTGTATACACTGTGTTGTAAGCTGTTTGTTCGTAAATGTGTAGAGACTTCAAAGACGGAGGACTTCCGAAGGTGAAAGGTATATGAGTTGCTCTTGTTTATGAATCTAAATGATATGCATTATTCCGCTCCTTCTTTTTTTTCAGCGATTCATATATCAATAATATATTTGATGTATTTTTAAGCTTTTCAAGTTTTAGAAGTGGAAAACCTCCCCACATGATTAATATCTTAATATGGCAACTGCTCAAAGCAGTATAAAGCAAACAAATGTGCAACTCTATTCAGCTTAACCAGTTCAACCCCTAACTCGATATTATATCTGTGTAACAATCAGATAGACCATGATCAATTTTCAAAACATCTGTGCACACTAAATAAGGTTTATAAAAATGTGATAAATTAAAGTATCAATTGGAAATTCAGAACAACATTTCTCTCACGGAACTTATGATTACAGAACTCCAGACGTTACTTCTATGATAAAGTATCTACATGATACAAATCTACAATTACGTCGAAAACATTGTTTAATACTGATGAAGCTGATCAAACTTCTTCTTATTCTGTTTACTTGTATGGTCGCTTTCGTCATAATATGACCACAATTGTGTTAGTATGCCGTAGGACCAAACATAGCAAAATTTTAGTGGTCTGTACAGAATGATAAAGTCTGAGCGAAGGTAATATGACAGTGAAATCATTTTTCTTTTCTCACTGTCATTTCAATTGAAACATACATCAACACAAATTAGAGCTATCACTAAAGGGGATTAATACCCCCACTAGCAACTTTGACTTTTTGTAAAATAAACTCAACATATTGTTAATAAAGTATCAACTGGGTACAAAGAATTATTTAAATTAATTAACACCCCTAATGGACACTATAAGGAACTGTGAAATTGACAACATAGGATCGTTATATGCCTTAATTTGTTAAACCTGTATGCAAAATTTAAACAAAATTTACCGTGTGGTTTATGAGTTATGGACATTTTTATGAACTAAAACTTTGCCGTTAGAAGGGCTTTTTTCAGAAATGAGGGATCTCTAAATAAATTGTAATATCATCATTATGAAAAATGTTTTTCCATTGCTCATTGTTAAGAACCAAATAATGGCATTCATGTAACAAATTAAACAAGCAAAATAACTGTTTCTAAAATAAATGTTTTTAATATGAATAAAAATGTTACCCTACCCAACCCACTTAAACACTTCTTTGACCATTTCCCTATGTAAAAAGCCTTTTTCAAAATATCCCCGAAATTTACCATAATGAGGGGCTATTTTCAAAGTTTGCCTAAATTTTCTTAAATGTTAATTGGTTGGTCTTACAAATTATAAAATACTTTTTCCGTGTAGTTTTAATTTTATTAAACATTGAAACTATCTGGTATCATATTTGCTATTAAAATTGGCATCAAATAAATACCTACAATAATCATTTAATTAAAATTAAACACTTTTTTTCTTCCATTCATTATGGATCTGGAAAATTCATAAAAAAATGTTAAAAAGAAAAAAAAAAGAAAAAAAATGCCCCTTTTGGGGTTTGAACCCACGCCCCTCAGTTTCTATACACTTGTCAGTGATTCTTGCCTATTTGAATACTCTTCAAAGTAGAAATAGTGCATGAGGGGTGTACTACCTTAATTGGAATATCATCCGGGGTCTGCATATAAGCTTGCTATACTCCAAATATATGATACATAAGATCAACAAGAAAAGGCGGCGTTAAAAGAACGCAACCCCAATATAACCCAGCAACAAGAACCAGTGGCAAGGAGCCCAAGCGGACCCCAAACAAAAGCAGGACAGGGCACAAGACAGAGCACGGACAGGTAAATTACTTAAATGATAAATAATTTGTAACTGATAAAGAATTCAAGAAAACCCCTCGACCAACTGTTAAAGGGTTGAACAGTTTGATTACATTGTTTTTTCTTCCATTATGGATCTGGAAAATTCATAAAAAAATGTTAAAAAGAAAAAAAAGAAAGAAAAAAATGTCCCTTCTGGGGTTTGAACCCACGCCCCTCAGTTTCTATACACTCGTCAGTGATTCTAGCCTATTTGAATACTCTTCAAAGTGGAAATAGTGCATTAGGGGTGTACTTCCTTAATTGGAATACCATCCGGGGTCTGCATATACGATTGCTTTACTCCAAATATATGATACATAAGATCAACAAGAAAGGCGGCGTTCAATGAACGCAACCCCACAACAACCAGTGACAAGGAGCCCAAGCGGACCCGAAACAAAAGCAGGACAGGGCACAAGTCAGAGCACGGACAGGTTAATTACTTAAATGATAAATAATTTGTAACTGATAAGGAATTCAAAGAAAACCCCTCGACCAACTGTTAAAGGGTTGAACAGTTTCATTCCTAACTCTAGTAATTGTCTGGAAACCATTTTTGTGTCGCCTCTACGGAGTAATGGCGACATATAGGGATCACTTTTCCGTCGACTGTCTGTCCGTTCGTATGAATGTCTGGGCGTCTGTCCGTCCTTCACAAAACTTGTCCGGACTACTCCTCATAAACTACTTGTGCAATTCCATCCAAACTTTACAGGAATGATCAGTACCAAATTCTGGAAACAAAGTGATCCCTCGGAAGCATTAATCACAACAAGTTGTGCATATCTTCACCATGTTCCGGTTCCAAGATTTTTGTCCGAGTTATGGTCCTTTAATAATTTTTATTTTCAAAGTTTTTCCGGACTACTCCTCATACTACTTATGTAATGTCAATGAAACTTTACAGTATTGATCTGTAGCTCAAGTCCTTGTGCATATTGCACGAGTTTATTATGTCGGATGATTTTTGGCCGAGTTATGGTCCTCTAATAAAACAGGTGTTTTTTCTGTGTGTTGCCAGATACACAAACGCTTGTCCGGACTACTTCTCAAAAATTACTGGCGCAATTTCATCCAAACTTTTCATAAATGAGCAGTACCAAGTCTAGTTGAGCATATCATTCGCTTTTTATAATTCATTCAATTTTGCTTAAGTAATGACCCTTTAATTAATTTTTAAAGTTTGTCAAGACTACTTCTCATATAGCACTCATGCAATTTCAATGAAGCTTGGAGGATTGATTGGTAGGTCAAGCACTTGCGCATATTACACGGGTTTTCCGCTTTAATGATCTTTTAGCCTAATTATGACCCTTGAAATAATATAGTTTGTCCGGACTTCTCCTCATATACCATTAATGCAATTTCAATGAAACTTTACAGGATCAATTGGTAGGTCAAGTACTTGTGCCTAATACACAAGTTCTTGGCTGGAATGATTTTTGGCTGAGTTATTGCCTTTGAATAAAAAAAGCTGTTTTTAGTATTGCCAGCTACACAGAAGTTTGTCTGGACAACTCTTCAGAATTTGCTGGTGCAATTTCATCAAAACTTTAGGGACCATGTCTAGTTGTGCATCTCATTTTTCAATTCATTGATTTTTGTCAGAGTTTTTGACCTTTCCTGACTTTTATTTTGAAATTTGTCCGTACTAATCCTGTTTCAATAAAACTTAAAAGGGTTGATCGATAGCTCAAATTCTTTTGCATATCATACAGGCTTTTAAGTTGAAAGATTTTTTGCCAAGTTATGGCTATTATGAGGTTACATATGTCATCACTGATGACCCTTGTTTATCTTTAGAAACAGTGATCTTGACCCCAGGGGGTCCAAATGCAATAACAACCAGAGTCTTCCTATAAGCTTTATAAACATCAGGTTTGATTACATTATCTCATTCCTAACTCTATTTATTGTCCGGAAACAATTTTTCTCTATTTTTAGTAACGATGACCACGACCTTGACCCAAGGGGGTCAAAATGCCATACCAACCGGTTTTTCATATAAACTTGCTATACAACAAGTTTGATTACATTATCTCATGCGTAGCTCTATTGATTGTCCAGGAACCATTTTTTCCATTTTAAGTAACGATGACATTGACCATGACCCTAGGGGTCAAGATGCAATACGACCGGGGTCTTTATATAAGCGTGCTATATACCAAACTTGATTATTATATCTCATTCCTATCTGTAGTTTTTGTCCGGAAACCATTTTGGCCGGGTTTCACATGTGCAAACCCGGGTTATAAAATGGTGAATGTCGGCTGGCAAGCGGGCGGGCGGGCGGACTGATAGGCTGGCGGGCGGGCGGTTAATATATTTTCGTAACAGTTTTCTCAGCAACTACTTATCACAGCATCTTGATATTTAGTTTAGAGTAGTCGTGGTCCCATACTGTGGAATTTGATTTCAGGTCTGTCGCAATGCCACTTCCTGTTCACCGACTTAGTTAAATTTTTGACATTAATGGTCAATGGTAGGAATTTTTTGTAACATATAAGCTTGCTATACAATGCAAATTTGACAACACTATTTCATTTGTAACTCTAGTGATTGTCCAGGAACCATTTTTCTAATTTAAGTAACGGCGACCTTGACCTTGACCCGAGGGGGTCCTAATACACTAACTGGGTCTCCATAAAGGGGTGATATTTATCAAGTTTGATTACAATAACTCATTGCAAACTCTAGTTATCGTCTGGAAAGCATGATGTGGGTACAATGACCTAGCAATGCACAGGTGAATTAAGATACGTAAACTTTATGTTTCGATGTATCAAAATAAAATTATAGAAATCAGCTTAAAGCACTTACCAGTTACGATAATTTCCATTATAATTAAAGCAGGAATTAACATTCTGTAATATTGTTTACTGTTCAAACACGCAAGTGACCTTATTATGTAACTACGTGAATGAGAAAGTACTACATCTGTAATATTAAACTTCTTTTACATGATGTTATCTATAACCTAATTCTTAATCGTTATGTATACAAATTTGTAGATTTTATCATAGATAAAAAAAATGTTTAAAGGATAAATTAATGTTCGTGTTATATGTATTTAGTGGTTATACACTCTGAGTAAACCTGTATGACGTACGAGCTTGCATTCTAAATGAATTAAATGAAATAATAAAGCAAGGCATATTTTCCTTCCCCAAAGAAAGATTCGTTAAAAGCATGCAGTTTTCCCCTAAAAATCGAATAAACATCAAGTTTTTTCTTTCCTTTTGCAAATATACAGTGTGATTTTCCCCCAAAATTAAGGAAATTGCTGCTTCCCTAACTAGTGAAAAAGCCCTGAATAGTCATTACGAATTAAAGGACCAAAATATAGAATTCCTTCCGAAATTGATTTTAATGCTTGTCAAGGTCAGATAGCTTAATCGATCGAGGACTTTTCAGTAAAATGGTGTCGTTGCGAAAATGCTGATAGTAATGCACTTAATACATGGAAACATATTATATTTAATATTATTGAATCACGCATCGAATTTTATCGTGGGAATGAACATCTTTTACCACCTAAACCTAGACCTACTTTAAGGCATCTTAAAAAGGATATATTAGCGTTCCATTCTAAATTTGTTTTAGTTCCGGCTGACAAGGCGGCCAATAACATTATTATAGTATGACGTATTCATTATATAAATGTTTTACAAAATGAACTTAAGGGGATATTCAGACAAAATAATGACAAAAATATCAAAATGATCTTATGTACTCAAATCAAGCTAAAATGACATTTCTTAAAGTTCCAGCATGAATTTCTGTTTAAATTTTATATATTTTGGGTGTGAATCGTAGATATATCTATTTATGTTGAACAAAATTTAAACGCCAATAGAATCACCAAATAGTTTTAAAACAAGTCATGTGGCTTAAACAAACCCTTGAAGTTACAATAAGAGATATTTTGGACATTGTATGAATGAAACAAGTCTAAGCCATTCATTTGACATGTTCTTTAACGTTTCCAGAGTTCACAGTGACAACTATTTGAAATCCTGGCGCTCTAACCTGACCCACGCGGGTCAAGTTAGGAAACAACTATTTTATTCTTTACATGGAGAAAAGTTTTGTTCCTTTGACTGTCTAATGTATTCATTTTGAGGGCATTTACAGAATACTAAATGAAAAATTAAAAACTAAGAAATGAAAATTTTGCCTGTGTCTCCCTTTAACAGCACTAATGCTTATTATAAAACCGTTCTTTCTGAAAGAGATATTGTGAACAGTTATATTTCTAAACTGTTAAAGTAGGTGTTGGTGAGAAAGAGCTTAAACTTCCTATCATGTACTGGATTCCAAAATTACATAAACATCCATATAAAGCCCGCGCTTCATTGCTAATTCTACTACCAGTAATCTTTCTGTTTTATTGACTTCTTGCCTTACTGCCATCAAGGCACATGTCATTAAATACTGTGAAACAGTTTATGAAAATACGGGCAAAAATCTTTTTAGGTCTGTTAAAAATTCAACTGAAATTTTAGATACGTTTAAAGTTAAGAATTACATGTATTAAGCTTCATCTGTAAGTACTTACGATTTCTCTACCCTATATACAACATTAACACATAATCTTATAAATGATAAATTATTATCTTTAATTCAAAAAACATTTTCAAGAGAAAAAGTGACGTTTCTTGCTTGCAATTCAAAGAAGGCTTTCTTTACCCATGGTATCATTAAACAATATACAATGTGGACCTGTGACGAAGTTTGTTAGCACTTTCGTTTTTATTAGATAACATTAATGTCAGGTTTGGTAAAACAGTTTTCAAACAGATAATAGGCATTCCAATGGGTACTAATTGTGCATCCCTGATAGCTGATTTATTTCTCTACTGCTATGACAGTTCTTAAACAAAGTTATCGCTATCATAAATTGCGTAAATATTTTATTAACTTTTACCATCGTAATTCAGATTAAGTTTTAAAATTTTATTGTAATTTAAAAACTATTTTACGACAAGGTATAAGCAAACCTGATTTCTATGGAGATGTGGTTTACATACTTCGTAAGATCATGGGTCATAGTAATTTTTCTGCCGTCTTCACTAAAATTATCAAACGGTTTATTAAAAGAGGTTATGATCCAATTATTTTAGGGCATACCACATGCTTGGTGTTCAACCCTTTTACAGTTGGACGCTACGCTTTCCTCTTTTAATTGCATCTGACGGACTAAGTGGGAGACTATGATGGACAGTTCTTAAAGCCCTTTGGGACTGAATTGTCTTAATGTTCGTCTTCTGTCTTGCATCGTCGGGCCCTTGTCGGTGATTTTCATGTTGGTCTGCCTTCCTTTAAGGCATCGAGTGCTACATATTTACATAATTTTGTATGTGTTTTATTTATTTCATCTAATGTAACCATGACCATTGTTAGAATTTCACTTGGCGGGGATGAATTTTATTTACACTTTTATGTCATTCAGGAACATATTGAGGCTGAGAGTGAGGTTTGGCACGCCTAAAACCGGTTTAAACTCCCCAGTGGTTTAACTACCACTGACCGTTCCAAGGCGGTACCCCTTTGTGTTCCTTCACGTGTTTTTCATGTTTGTATTGTTACTTGTTTTGGATGTTAACATGTTTTGTGATGTCTGTCTTGTTGGATTGTCGTTAACGGTAGGTATTTTTGTCAATCCCCCCTCACCCAGTTTTTAACCCCCTCCCACCTTTTCACCCTTACAGCCCTTATCCCTTTATTCCCTTATGGGCCCGTTTTAGTTGATATTATTTCACATTACATGTCCCACTCCTTTCACCGTTATGTCAGCTCCAGGTTTTTGTTTGGTGCCTTCTGGGTTCCCTTCTTGAATGTGTTCATCCTATGGATATTTTGGAACATTAAATGCAACACTTTCGTGTCTTCAAATGAAAAGCGGCGTATGGTCCCCATGTTAAAGAAAGCGTTCGCCCTAATCGAGAACAAATGGGCACAGCTAAATGAAATAAAATTTTGAAAGGGAATAAGATGTCATGGATCCTGCATTTCACAGATAATGCGTCAGAAAACGTTAAAAGGCAGGCAACATATCATACGGGCAATTGATCATTATGTAAGAAGGAATATTAGACACCCCCTCCCCCCTAAAAAAGCCAAAATAGAAATGAAAACAGCACAAACACAACCAAAATGTCGTGCTGAACGATTTTCTTTTTTGCCATGACATTTACTAGTTGGATGACTCAATATTCCTACTTGAATAATATTTGATAACCGTTGGGAATGTTCCCTGCTTTTTAATTTGTCTTTTGACGTCTTATCTTCAAAAGTTTATCAAAAGTAAGACCTTGACAGTTTTGATAATGTATTTTAAACAATCAAGTCAAACAATAGTGAACTTGAATACAAAGGAGCTATAATGTGTGTATTCATTTTGATAGTTTGCAGTTCGAATACACAATGTCGTGACGCTTTATATCCGGTTGTTATGACCCCGGACATATAGTAATTGAACCGTCAGTCCCTTGTCAGAACGAGCTCAACGGCAAGTTTGAGTTTTCCTAAATTCGTTCTGTACCAATGGCTTCATGCACATATTCTTTATCCTTCATGTACAGACTCAATCAAACCGAGTATGCATTTCCCTTGTAATGCTGTTGTGATTAATGCTTTCGAGGGATCACTTTGTTTCAAGACTTTCATATTTTTATACTAACAAATCAAAACTTAATACAAAATCTATACAAGTTGCATCACTATTGCTTCCATATTTACCAAGTTATTGCCTTTTTTTAGCAAAAGTGATTTGAACACAGAGCAGACGTGAAACTTTCTTAGCTAAACTTTATTCTTGTTCAGTACAATACGACATTTTAGATGTTACATACACAGCACGGCGCATTTTATGACGACAAACCTGGGTTTCATTTGTTGATTTGTAAAATTTTGTAAGTACTCCGCAATGACTTTGACTCCTACGTGAGAATTTACACGTTAAACCTTTCGTCATTCCTGATAAAACACTATTGCACTTTTAATCAATATTACATGTGGTGGATAATTGTATATCTACATGTACACTTAAACCCTGGACAAATAATATCTGTACCCTGTTCTAGGTTAAGCCTTTACACAATAGAGAGCTCATGTAATGCCATGTAATTTTCCATGACCACAAACTGTTGAAATGTTATCAGCCAATCGATCAGTAGCAAACATATATCTTTTTTGTTGTAATTTATCTTTTTTCGCACGCACGCACACCCCCCCCCCCCCCCCCACACACACATACATACATACATACATACATACATACATACATACATACATACATACATACATACATACATCATTATATATGGCAGACATATCGGGTTACACAGCCATTCACTGCATGGGACATGTCTACTATATGCCATTATCTATAATAACACTTGATGGATGCCTTTTTTATTAGACTGAATATTTGTTTTAAGCCTTAAATTTGCCTTTACCTACTTTGAATTTAACATTTCAGAAACATATGTATAGGTCTTGCTACCTTTTTTATATTGAAATACAGTGCAGTTAATCGACATAAAGATTTCTCAACTAAGATACAACAAATAATAGCCCGTCAAGAGAACTCGAGAACAAACTAACTAACTAACTAATTAACTAACTAACTGACTAAGTAAGTAAGTAAGTAAGTATCTAACTAACTAACTAACTAATTTGAAAGTATCATGAATAAAATAATATTTTAAATGAACAAAAAAGTTTTACTCTTTCCTAGTTACTGTAGCACAAAAGAGCTGAAAATTGTTTCCTTGAACGGCTTTCAGCGTTATTCATTCTTGATGATAAATACCTACGATGTTATCATTTAAAAGAGGTGAACGGCTGATGACGTTACTAAAATTTCGATGACACTCTAACTGAAATTCCCTATAACTTTAACAGAAAAGCATTTTTGAAGATATGAATTGGAATATTTAAT